CCATAGAAATACATAGGGAAATTCCCAACTCACAAGGAGCTTTCAGAGCAAGCTGCAGGTGGAAAATGGTAAGAATGTGACTTTGAATCTGTTAATTTATGAACTGTAGAATCTTTGGAAGGTTGTCAAGATTATAAACATAGTGTATATAGCATAAGCCATGGATGGTAGAGAAATTGAACAGTTAAAAAAAGCCCTTATAGCCAGCAATAATATATCAGTGGATGTCATTTTGCGCCAAGACACCAAGAAGCCTGTTTGGCAGATAGTTTACATTTTAGTAAGGCGATCCCATCTATTCATTTCCTCAAACTTGTAAACAAGTGAACCTTATTTTTTAGAGAAGAAAGTATCTTTCCTTCTTTGTGTCCAGCACATATTTGTTTTGGAAGCAGCTGCCGTTATTAAAAGACTTAAGGAAAGCATAGCCCAGGTATGCCTTTCTCAGTCCTCAAGAAGGAAAATTAGTTTCAGGAGTTTCTCAGCAGAATGGAATCCAACGGTGTCTTGTTGCAGGCAGAAAAGAAATATATACCTTTCCAAGCAGCACAATAATCCTCCCATCCCCTCCTCCCTTACAAGAATAAAGATTTATTGGGCTGCAGGGCTACTACTAGTACTACTACCACCACTACTACATTTAGCAACAGACACCATGTATGCACATGAAAACAGCAAATCATCTGTAGGAAACCCAGCTGCCAAGATGACTTCCTTACTGTGCTGGACACATGTGGGGAATTTACAAGCCAGCTGAGCAATAAGACATTAACAAGGTGGCACACAGCTAAGCTGATGCTAGTCAAGAAATTTATACACCACTGCTAATGTACTGCTTGGTTTCCACTCAGACCCCTCCATGTAGAAGTTCCTAGTCTGAAATCAACCGGCTGTTGCGATAATTGCTTAAGCAGGCACCAGCCTGGATAGGCAAGATGACAGATTTTTATATATAGAAGGCTGTATTCACCAAAAAGTGAACCCCTGCTGCTTCCATCTCCCACTGTACCTTTTTTTTTTTTGCTGTTGATCAACATGGAGTCAGCAAATGAAACATGGTATTGTCAAAGTTGTGTGATTTAATTTGCCATAACTACAATTGCTATAGTTGTGTACTGTATTCTTTATTTTAAACAATCTTCCTTGTGCCTTCTTGGGACCCATGAGTAAAACCAAAGGTCCTTTTCTCCTACAGGTCTAGGATTTCCTAAACCTGAGCATTCACTAGTAGAATTTCGATGGACATTTTTCGTTGCAAGAAAGTTTGTTAATTTTTCTAATCATTATTGCTGTCAAACTGACATTTGTTTTTGGCCGCATTGAAAAGATAATTAGAAGGAGCAGGATGGAAATTTTTTTCTAAAATGTCCAGATTTCTAACAGTTCATTTAGTCCAAAATCAAATGTTAAAAGCAAACTGGCTTTTAAGCTATTTTGAGCTCAAATTTGAATGTACTGAGAATTTTCCAAGAATATTCTTATAAGGTTTTGTATGAATTTTCTTAATTCATTAAAGCGGACCTTCACCCTAAATGTCATGTTGTGCTGTCCAATTCTTTCCGCTACTATAAATGGATATTCTTTTTTTTATGAAGTACTTTATTTGTGCTGCAAAGCAGCACTTCTGTGCCTCTCCTTGCCCCTGCATACACTTGGGGTTTCCCATGGACGCACAAAGACTGAGAAGAGAATTAGAAGTGCAATACCTTCCCTGTCTTTGCGTATGCGCAGACATGTTGACAGGATCTTCCTGGACCCAAATGTCTGTGCTTGCGCCAAAATGGTGGTGCTTGGAGATGGGGGGGTTGAGCCCAGGAGGCAGACTAAGGTTTCGCTTCAAGGCATGTGTACTGAAAATAAACTTTACGTTGAATACAAAAAATCCTCTTTTCTTGCTCGCCCCTTGACAGACACAGGAAGTCTTTAACCTTCAGGATGTCCAGAAGCAAGTCCAACTGAGGAGTGGGCAACACAGCAAACAATCACTATCAGGCCCCCTCCCCAAAACAACAACTGAAAACTAGGGACTATTTGCAGCTCAGACAGCTGTCTGAAGAGTCCCATGTGGAACCCAGTGCCTGAAGATCAATTCCAGAACAGCTGTGCAATGTTCAATCCAGCAGCGTCAAGGCAAGGTACTGTAAAACTCAGGCTGAGAATGACCATGCTGGCTAGCAGCAATCAAAGAATTATAACTAGAGTACAAAGGTAAAGAGTCTTGTTCGCAGAAAACATTACAGAGAAAAAAAAGTAATCTTTAACCCCCCAAAAAAGTATATACAATAGGAGACACGAGAACTCAGAACTGAAAAAGTAATAAAATAAAATGTTGTCTTTAATATATAAATAATTTTAAACATGGTAAGTCACACACAAAGACAGAAAATGTATTGGAGCCTCAGCTGTATTAGCAAAAATGAATATATATACATACATACATATATATACACACACATATGTATACTTATACACACACACACAGTCATGGCCAAAAATATTGGCACCCATGCATTTCTGTCAGATAATGCTCCACTTCGCCCAGAAAATTGTTGCAATTACAAATGTTTAGGCATCAGCATACCAAGACATTTTGGACAATTTCATGCTCCCAACTTTGTGGGAACAGTTTAGGGATGGCCCCTTCCTGTTTCATGTTCCTGTACATGACTGCACACCAGTGCACAAAGCAAGGTCCATAAAGACATGGATGAGTGAGTTTGGGGTGGAGGAACTTGACTGGCCTGCACCAGAGTCCTGACCTCAACCCGATAGAACACCTTTGGGATGAAATAGAGCAGAGACTGTAAGCCAGGCCTTCTCGTCTGACATCAGTGCCTGACCTCACAAATGCGCTTCGGGAAGGCTGGTTAAACATTCCCATAGACACACTTCTAAACCATTTGGCCAGCCTTCCCAGAAGAGTTGAAGCTGTTATAGCTGCAAAGGGTGAGCCAACTCAATATTGAACCCTACGGACTAAGACTAGGATGCTATTAAAGTTTGTGTGCGTGTAAAGGTAGGCATCCCAATACTTTTAGTAATATAGTGTGTGTGTATATATATATATATTTTTTTTTTTTTTTGCTTTTTTGTATATAGTGCAAAAAATAAAACACCCAGTGGCGATTAAATACCAACAAAAGAAAGCTCTATTTGTGTGAAAAAAATGATAAAAATGTCACATGGGTACAATATTGCATGACCGCGCAATTGTCATTCAAAGTGTGACAGCGCTGAAAGCTGAAAATTGGCCTGGGCAGGAAGAGGGTATAAGTGCCCTGTAAGCAAGTGGTTAAAATCGTACTTTTCAAAAGGGTTGTACTCATTTATGCTGAGCACAACAAGTTCTGGACAGGAAGGACTTGGTGATTAGGCCAGCGGATAAAAGGGGGGGGGGGGGGGGGGAGAGGAGTAGTTTGGGACAAAACATTTTTTTTATAAAAGAGGTAAACAAGATTCTCGATTATAAAGACACCTATATCCGGAAAGGGAGAAGCACACGCATATATACATATACATATATATACACACACACACACACATATTTACATACATACATATACACACACACATACACACTTGATTTTGAGCAGCCCTGCAGTTCTGTCATGGGGCGATGGAGAATTTGTTAAGGAAGAGGTTTGTGACGTGAGCAGTAAGCGTATCTCTGTGAAGACATGCGTGTGCACGAAACGCATCAGTAGGGGGCCATATGTGCCGATGTCACATCGCCACAATGTTTTTATTCCACGTGGATCTTATCTATTGTCTGAATCGATTACTTTATTAAACTACTACACAATGTACTTTACTGTGGGCTCAGCATGGTGAGCAATTTCCTCATAGGGCTTACTACAAGCTAACACTCCTATCCATTGGTGAAAGAGGTCTGCGGAGGTCCTGTTTGGGCTGGAAGTTCCTGTTTTTGAGCTCCATATTCTTTATGTTCTGGTAAGTGCATAAGGGTGGAGGAGTTGCACTGAAGATCACCTACATTTGTTTGGATGCAAGACAATTGTGAAATATTTATAACGAAGAATATCTGATTTAATATTGGATTTAGTACACACTGATTGGGGTTATTTTTACCAAAGCAATGTACAAGTTTTGGCCCAAATTTATGAAGAAAAATTACTTATTTGCAAAATTTTATAACAGAAACGAAGAAAAATGCATTTTTCCTCCCCCAAATTGTCAGTCTATTTTAATTTATTGTTTCAAAAAATAAAAGACTGAGTGCTGATTAAATACCACCAAAATAAAGCTCTATTTGTGTGAAAAAAGACAAAATTTTCATTTGGGTACAGTGTTGCATGACTATCATTCAAAGTGTAAGAGCGCCGAATGCTGAAAATTGGTCTGGGTAGGAAGGGGGTAAAAGTGCCCTGTATAGAGGTAGTTAAACTTTACACATTATCTAAATTAAGCAACACACTTTTTTTTAAGTTTTTATTTGATCAATCTAAACCATAAATCGGCCAACTAATTGATTATGAATATATTCATTTGTGGCAGCCCAAGTTCAAAATGGATCAGGTGAACAACTAGGTTTAAAAAAAAACAGTCCTCTGAAACCTATTTTAATGCAACCTATGACATGCTGTATAGTTCTATGCCAAACATTATATGAAAGATGACCCTGGGCCAATAAAAAAAAAATATCCTTTACTGTGAGGATTTATTTCCATCAATGTAACAAAATAAATTTTCCAATGACAGTGAAATTACCTGAAACATATCTTTACACTGACTTGAGATATTCAACATGAAAGTGGATATAATGCTTGTAGTGGATGTGTTATCCAGTGAGATGATAGACAGAAAAAATGGAGGGGGGGGGGGGAACTTTGGGGTACGAAAAATGGTCATATTTGCAGTTAAAACTGCCAGTTACTTATTAAAGCTCAAATCTTTACAGGATTTTATTCTCAGAACTAAAATAGAGAATATTACACTAAATTATTACTAGTAAAGATAGAACAGCAAAGATAGACACTTACTTGGGGAGATTACCAGAAAGAATTTTCAGGGCATATTCCCGCAGGTACTTCTGGAATATAGTGGTAAGGGCAATCATTGGCTCTCCTGTGCTCAGCTGGGAACATTGCACCATACACTTTTTGTAGTACACAAACAAGTCTGCACAGCTTGGTAACACAGCTCCAGCATCCTCTGAAGTAGACTTTGGTGGACCTTGGGCCTTGAAATCCCCAGCAAACCGGTCAATTAACTCACCGAGATTCCTAGAGTAAAAGCAATTGCCACAATTTAGCTGACAGGAAACATTATACAACCAATATAAAATGCAAACTTGATTATTGTGTCAAGATATGTTTTAACTAAGAAAAACAGAAAAGTTAACACTGATGCTTTAAGCTGAACTTTACCTAAAGAAAGATGAATAAGGTAATATATTTACATTATGCCTTGCTCCCATTAGCCAGTGTTCTCCTCCGCTGTATGGCATCCTGGGCTGTGGAAGGGCCTCAGCAACCATACATATAATGCAGGACTGCTGGCCTGCTTTGTATGGGATGTAAGAAAGCTGTGCCCAACCATGTATATCCCCTTATTCCTCATCTTCTCTGAAAAATGAGCAGTTAACTAAGGCAGTCATTTTAAAAAATGGCAGTGTTTTTAAAAGCAATAGCCGGCATTTTTTCTTCACTATAACTCAGAGAATGAATGGTCGCTTTCCACAGAGCGAAAAAAAAAAAATAAAGGGGCGGGGTCACTCAGTGACATTAGCCAGTGACCCTGCCGCTAAGTTTCCTTTAGCTCTGGAGAAAGGGACAGCTCATTCTCTGAGCTATAGTGAAGACAAAAAAGCCTGGTAATTACATTTAAAAACCAGCACTGACATATAGTGACAGTCAGTGAGGGAGCCTCTCTGTATACACTGCTCCCTTAAATGTATACACTTCTCCTCTCCTGCCCCCTCCTTGCACACACTGCCCCCCATCCTCTCCCCCTACAAAGACAACTATTGCTCCCCTATGTGATAACAATAAAATCATAAGTTAAAAAAAAATACATTAAAGTAGTAAAAGATATAAAAAAAATATGGGCCTCTCCACCCCCACATATGCAGACATTTCAGTTTCGGTTCGGTTTTCGGCCACATGCATTCTGAATTTTTGATATCGGTACCAGAATTTTCATTTCGGTGCACCACTAATTTTGAGCTTTACAGGAATTTCTTAGGGATGGTGACAACACTGTCAAAATTTAAAGTGGTTGTAAATCCTGAAGGTTTTTACCTTCATGAATGCAGCTTCCCCAATACTTGTCCAAGCTCGATCCCACGATATGCACATGAGTGGCTGCTGTCCTAGCTCTCTTCCTCCTTAACAGCTCGAAGACAGCAGCGGCAGACATGACAGAGCGGGGCTTGATAGCAAGCACAACCTGCCCCCAGAACAAGCGGCTTGCTCTGGGGCACATGGTAGGGGGTGGAGCCAGAAGCTCCAGAGGGGACCCAAGAAGAAGAGGATCGGAGTTGATCTGTGCAAAACCACTGCACTTAGCAGGTAAGTGTAATATGTTTATTATTTAAAAGCACTTTAAACTACATAGTGGGTTTTTGCAGGCTAAGGGTGTCATGCAAATAGGGATTATTATGTAGCAATAGGGACCAATCAAGTGCAGTGTAGTGTTGACAAGAAACATGCTAACAGAAGGAGGGTGGACAGTAATGAGCTGATCATCTGCTGCTGCTCCTTCACTATCTATTCGCCCCCTGTCTGGGAGTGTTGTTTTTATTGTACTGTTATTAAAGGTGAACTCCAGGCAAACAGCTAAATATGCTGAACACCAAGCAAACAGCTAAATACAAAATTAAAAAAAACATAAAAGGGAGTGGTTTTACCTGCCAGTATACTTGCATTTCTGTCCACCTGGCTTTACACAGCTCTGGCATACTCAACTGCCTGATCTTGGTAGGCAAAAAACTGTGCTGCAGCTCCGTAACGCTTACAGATACTCCTATACTGGACAGTAAGAGGAAAAGCAGCACACCAGTGAGAGCTGTCACTCTGATCTTTCCTCCTATCAACATGCTTATAGCACTTCAGCACACTTGATTGGCTATTTATGCTGCTTCTTCCTACCAAACCTAACTCAGGCCATTGCACTGCACGCAATTAAATCAAATGCTTTAACTTCAATAGAGAAAAGTTATGTAACCGAATTGGCACTCTTTGGCTAGCTGCTAAAGTAAGGTAACTCTCAGGAATAGACAAAAATACTAATCCTTTGGCGGGAAAAATAGTATATATACACACACAATTCCATATGTACACTGCTCAAGAAAATTATAGGAACACTTTTTATTCAGAGTATAGCATCAAGTCAATTAAACTCCTGGGATATTGATCTGGTCAGTTAAGTAGCAGAGGGGGTTGTTAATCAGTTTCAGCTGCTTTGGTGTTAATGAAATTAACAACAGGTGCACTAGATGGGCAACAATGAGACGACCCCAAAACAGGAATGGTTTTACAGGTGGAGGCCACTGACATTTTCTCTACTCATCTTTTCTGACTATTTTTCACTAGTTTTGCATTTGACTAGGATCAGTGTCACTAATGGTAGCATGAGGCGATACCTGGACCCTACAGAGGTTGCACAGGCAGTCCAACTCCTCCAGGATGGCACATAACTACGTGCCATTGCCAGAAGGTTTGTTGTCTCCCAGCACAGTCTTAAGAGCACAGAGGAGATTCCAGGAGACGGGCAGTTACTCTACGATTGCTGGAGGAACAAGATGAGCACTGCCAGAGCCCTACAAAATGACCTCCAGCAGGCCAATGGTGTGAATGTCTCTAACCAAACAATCAGAAACAGACTTCATGAGGGTGGCCTGAGGGCCCGACGTCCTCTAGTGGGCCCTGTGCACACTGCCCGGCACCATAGAGCTCAACTGTTATTTGCCATTGAACACCAGAATTGGCAGGTCCTCCACTGGCACTCTGTGCTTTTCACAGATGAGAGCAGGTTCACCCTGAGCACATGTGACAGACATGAAAGGGTCTGGAGAAGCCATGGAGAACATTATGCTGCCTGTATCATCATTCAGCATGACTATTTTGATGGTGGGTCAGTGATGGTCTGGGGAGGCATATCCATGGAGGGACGCACAGACCTCGGCAGGCTAGACAATGGCACACTGACTGCCATTAGGTATTAGGATGAAATCCTTGGACCCATTGTCAGACCCTACGTTGTTGCAGTGTGTCCTGGGTTCCTTCTGGTACAAGACAATGCCCGGCCTCATGTGGTGAGAGTATGCAGGCAGTTTCTGGAGGATGAAGGAATTGATACCATTGAATGGCCCCCACGCTCGCCTGACGTAAATCCAATAGAACACCTCTGGGATATAATGCTTTGGACCAGCCGAAGCCACCAGATTGCACCTCAGGCTGTCCAGGAGCTTAGTGATGCTGTGCTCCAGAGAAGAAATATCCCAGGAGACCATCCATTGTCTCAGTAGGAGCATGCCCCGACGTTGTCAGGCATGCACACAAGCACATGGGGACCATACAAACTACTGAGTAACATTTTGAGTTGCAATGAAATTTCAGCAAAATGGACTAGCCTGCTGCATAATTTTTATTCACTTTGGTTTTTGGGGTGTCTTTGAATTCAGTCCTCTGTCGGTTGATAATTTTCATTTCCATCAAACGATGGGGCATCCTTATGTTCGTAACACATTACCCAGTCCATATAAGTAGATATCTAGCAAGATATTTTTTTCCCATTGAGATCTGATGTGTTTTCAAAGTGTTTCTTTAATTGTTTTGAGCAGTGTAATTAGCTATTTGCCTACAGTTGAACTTTAAGGCTATATTAATTATCACATTGCCATTGATATTCATTGCAAGACTTGCAAACAGGCAAAGTAAATGACTGATCTGAAACCACTGAACAATGATCCTTTTTATGGGCATAGCTGTAGCAAATATGCTGATCATAATGTAAAATAATAATAAAAAAAAAAATCTAAGATAGTTTTTACCAGCTGTACATACTGAAGACTGCTAATATTATCAATAATTTCTTATGTTTTTAAACCTTTTTTTTTTCTTTTTAAATAAAAAGGTGGAACTAGTTCTTTGTCCCAATAGGAATAAAAGAGCTGGAAATGAAACTTATAAATGATCACTTTGATTTTCTTGTTAAAACTTAATGGACTACCATGCTGCCATGAAAAAAAAAAAAAAAAAGACTCAATAATAATGGGGCCAGCCATTTTCCACATCGCAGAGCAAACATGAACTTAATGCATTAATTTTCCATAGACGTCAAAAAACAACTTTGTGTGGAAAAGAATCAATCTTCCCATCTGTGATTAAATAAAAACATGCCTAGTTTTACACTTTCTATTCAAAGCTCCTGAATTGTGATGAAAATTTTTGGCTGCTGCCTATCACATATCTCAAATTAGAGAAGGAAAAAACAATATAATTTTTATAGTCATCATAAAAAAATCTTCTTTGAGTCCATTGAGGAACACTGGAGCTCTTTAACCTTTGGGCGATACTACAGGAGGATTGGACACTGGCAAAAAAAGAAAATGTTGGCCAGTACAAAAAAAAAAAAAAAAAAAAACTCATCCCCTCTACCACACCTCAGTTTTGCAGCAAAGCAGTGCTGAGAGCTTGATCATAAATACAGAGGAGTTTGCGCCTCATTAGACACCAAGAAAAGGATTTTTAGAAGAGTACAATAATCCTGTTTTCTTTCTCTTTCATTGAGGGACATCGGAAGTTTTTATTCTTCAGGATGTCCAAAAGCGAGAAACAACCTGAGGGAAACAGAAGCTGGCACCAGATGGGGCAGAAAGTCCACTTGGCAGAACTTAGAGAATGCTTGAATGGAAGACCAAGGGACAGCCTTGCAAATCAGGAGAACAATTTTTCAATTACAAAAAGCCCAAAAAGCGCACATGGGTCTAGAAGATTGTGCCTCAACAGAAAAGGGTGGAACTTGCACAGCTCAAACCACAAAAAAACAATAGAGGGAATATTCCTTGTGGTGAACTGGAGCTAGGCAGAAGAGAAAACAATGTTCTATTTGATTAGTGGCTTCTAAGGGAAGAGAGAACCAGATTTCGGTTCCCAGAGTCACTGAAGAACAGATGAGGGTGCTACATGAGACATGTACAAGGGTATCAAAGAGTGGGAGGCCAACATTCTCTGAAACAGGACAGAAAGAAGAAACTGGTCCAGACACACAGAAACTCCTG